AGCTGCCAGGGGAGCATGCAAGGCCCGTGTCTGTCAGCCCTCACGGAGGGGCTGGTTTGGTGTGTGCTTGCTGCTGCCTGTCTAACCCTCTTCCCTTCTGTGCGGCGTGTCCGCGTAGCACTGTGAGAGACCGCGCTCTGCAGGTGGAGCTGGAAGGGGTCCACGAGCTCCGGGGACAGCTGGAAGAAGCTCTTGGAAGAAGCCTGGAGTGTTTGAGCAGGCTGGAGACACAGGGCACCATAGGAGGTGGGGAACAGGAGCGTGTGAGAGTCCTACCCCAGCATGCCTTCTGAGCACTGCCGCTCGCCCGCCTGCCACGGAAGCGGTTCACTAACCGAGCGAGCCTGTCTCACTGACTCTGGGAGGAGGGTTGCTTTGGTACTTAGCAATGGTACAATAGAACTGGTGCAGGGCTTTTTTTTTTTGTTTGTTGTTTTGTTTTATTTTTGAGCTGCTTCGGAAACGGCGATCAGTGCAATCCACCCGTGTCTTGTGTATGTTCCTGTCTGACCCACCCTGGTGGCCGCTGATGTATTTGCACATTCAAATCATTCCATTTTAGTTGATTTCCCTCTATCTCCCTTCTCCTCTCACCCCCATGGGCCAAATAAAGATTCCCTATCTCTGAAGGAAACACCAAATGTTTTCTATCATCTCCCAAGTGCATGAGTGTGAGTTTTTGTATTCCCTTACCATTTTTCTTACCCAGGGACATCCCCTTCTTGGGTTGATGATGGCTGGCCCAAAGGGAGACAGTGTATATGGAGAAGTGGGTTCCAGAGCCAGAAAATTCAAGACTTGGTGACACTTGCTTAAACCAAATCCTACTCCAGTATTGACTGAATTTTTTTTTCCTAATTGTAAGTTGTCTCAGCCTAGCTTGTGAGTGTCTTCGAGGGAGAGCTTCCTTCTCTTTTTAACAGATACTTTGGGGTGACTGAGACCTGTCCCTGCTCCCAGGGTCTGGGCTGGGTCTGCTCCCTCACTTGTACGCACACATCTTATTTACAGGCTCCACAGGCTGCTTGGGCTATGGACAGGACCCTGTTTCTGCATTGCTGGGGCCTGTCCCACTTGGCACCATCGTGTAGGTTTTCTGCAGCCTCTTTCACCTCCTCTGGGAGTGTGGGGACTGGCATGAGAGCGGAAAACCAGTAGCAGCAGCTTTCCAATGACCAGGGCTTTCCATGCCCAGTGGGCTATGGATCTGCTGTCTCAGATCCCAAAGTGGCAAGAGGAAATTTTGTACCTCTGAGCATCTGTTTCTGCTTGCTGGGGAAGCTGAACTAAGAATGAGTGGAGCAGAAGAGCTCCATCTCTCTGGGCTGCACACCTGGACCTGTGGCTGCACATCTTGTGACTGCTTCATGGGGCACTGGCTGTCCTTATGCCTGCACTGAGGGCTTCTCTTCCCTGCCTCAGACAGGGATGGGAGGCAGCACAGCTCTCCCTTTGTACAGAGCAGGTCAGCACTGCCTCTCTGGGTCAGCACTCAGCTGTGTGGTGAGCTCAGTGGTTCCCGTGTGGCCAGAAGGGACACTGCTGGAGGCTACTGGGCAGCTCTGGGTTTGGCTAGCTTTTCCTTTCTTGTGTTTCATCTCATTCCCTTCCTCTCACTTCTCTGTGTAGCATCATCTTCTCTTTATCCTTCTGCTTCTCACTTTGTAGGAGCCTTTGTGTCCCTGTCCTTACCTTTCCACCTTCTCTCCTCCATCCTGGCACTGATGCCCAGCTGGCCCCCTGGTCCCTTGGGAACCATGGAGCCCAGGACCCAGCACAGACTCGTTGGCAGGGCATGAGGGAAGTCTTGGCTCGTGCTCTGGCAGCTCCCTTTCCTCTTGTGTGTGTGTTTTGATGTAGATCTGTTCCCTATCTCTGCTAGCATGACTGCTGTAAAGTGTCCCTTAGGGGAGTGTTATCAGAGGCTCAGGTATCCCAGCTTTTCCAGTCTTTTCTTTAAGGCCTCCTTTCATCCCTGGTAGTCCTGAGCATTCCCTGCCTGAGAGCACCCTCTGTCAAACTCTGCAGTGCTTTGTGCCATCTCCTAGCTCTTTGTGGAGGTCTCTCCGTCCTCTCTCAACTTCTCTGGGGAACCCTCCTTCCCTTCCCTTGTTCCCAGCTCAGTAGCTAGTGCACCTGGGTGTCCTGTGCTTATGGGCCATGTACAATTTGCAAGCCATGTAAATTAATTCTCTATGCCTTCAGGCTGAGATGAAAGACAGAGAAGTCAGTGGAAAAATAGTGCTAGGGTTGCACCTCATCTCCTTTGCTGGTGCCACACAGAGAGCTGAGCAGTCTGGTTTGCTCCTGCTGTGATGGAGGGTTGAAGCACTTAGTGGATAGCAGCCTGGGCACAGCTGCCCTACTTGTACACTTCTCTACTTCCCCAGCACCAGCTTCTTCCCCTGGTTTTTGATTGGTTTTTTGTTTGGTAAGTTTTTTTCTTCAGATTTGTACTCCCCTTTACTCCCCAGTCCTGGAGCACTGGGAGCTGTGTGTTGCTGTGGGTGATGGTGAGAAGTGTCTGTGTCCTGGCACAAGAGCTGATTCTCCCATATCCCCAGAGCAGCTGTGCTGGCTGCATGCCACCCTGGTGTGGTCCCTCAGCCATGCTGACCCACCTTGAGAGCCATGTGGCCCTCAGCCCGCAGCAAAGCCAGCAGCCTAAGGACTGTGTCCCCTCACCCTTCAGGGCCCCACAGGCACCGAGCTGTTTCCCTGCCTGGTTTGGCACACAGCAGGTTGTGGGTTCCTAGGCCTGTGCTTTGGCTATACTGAGTGCCACTCACAAGAGCTGCATCTTCATTGGGCTGCTGCTACCACTTCCAGCTGCCACTGAGCGTTTTGCTCCCAGAACAGTGCTTCTCCATGGTGGCCATCCTTGCTCCCTGGGGCTTAGCTGCTTCAGTGAACAATCTCTACCATGCAGGGTGATGTCTGCCCAGGCTTGACAGTGAGGTGCCCCAGATTTTTGCAACCTCGTGGCAGTTGCTTGTCTCCTGAGTTTGCCACCATCTATGTGCACAGTGCAAATGCCTGCCCTGCTGCAAGGCAAGCTCCTGGCTGGTCCTTGACTATTCCTCTCAGGAGACATATGCTTCCCTGCTGTCTTCCCCTTCACCAGCCTCCCTCCTGCCAGGATTTCTCTGTGTTCCCCTGCTCCTTGTTCAGCCTTGCCTGAGAGTGATGGATTTGGTCACAGCAAAGCTACTTCATCTCCTGCAGGGCGCAGGCAGCTGTGAAACTTGGCCCTGCAGAGCCTCGGGGGGCCTGTCCAAGTGCCCCTTCTCCCTGGTGTGAAGAGGACTGGGGTACACCCATCTCCCAGCTGCCCAGACAAGGAGTGCAAGCCCTTGTCCAGGGTTTTGCACCAAGGGGCCAAGAGCAGAGCTGTGTGCAAGCAGAAAAACATGACCCCAGCTCAGTCCAAGCCCCCCATGCACTGTGATATGGGACACAAGTGTCCCTTTACCTCTGCAAAGCCAGCACAAGGCTGGTAAAGAGCCCAGGGCCATGCCTGACACAGGGCTTGGGGAGGGTGGCTGCTCGTGTGCCTCTGAGCTGGCCGTGCCTGGGCAAGTGATTGTGTGGCATGCACACCAGTAGTCCTGCCAGGCTGGGGCAGTGTCAGTGAGGCTCCCTGACTGAGCATCTGCTGCTGCTGCTAGCTGTGGCTTGTGAAGTGGCTGCAGGATGAGTGGTGTACGTGCATGTGTGCTGAGGCAACAAGCACAAGGTGGTGAGAAGGCAGAGGTGTGGAAGGAGCAGGGGCTATTGCAGGGGTGCTGTCCCTGGGGCTTTCACCTCCCTCAGTGATGGGCCAGCATAGGGTGCCTGGTTGGAGCATCAGCTTGTAGAGAGGGGATGGCAGGGCACAGGAACAGCAGGGAAAACTCAGTCCTGCTGGGAGTGTCCCAGCACCAGGTGTGTGTGAAAGCAGGTGCCTGCCCTGGGGCTGCCCACAGTGGCCATGGGCATCACCAGGGAAGAGGGGACAGAGGTGGTGCTGCCAGTGCCACTGCTTTGAGTGCCTCGTGCTGTGCTGTCCCCTAGGTCAGCCCACAAGCACAGATGCCAATGATGCCAGCACCAACTTCACGGACAGCATGAAGGAAGAGGCAGCTCGTGGTGTGGCAACCCAACACGTGAGTCAGGGCGGTGCTGGGAACAGGGGTGGCAGAGTTGGGCACTATGCCACTGCAGAACTGTGTCCTAGCTCCTTTGAAAATATCCCTGTCACCCTCTGTCTTTGTCCCTCTAGAGCATCCCCCGGGCCCTTAAGGAAAGCAGGGGCACTGAGAGG